AAAGCAAGGGCCTGAGCAATTAGGCAAAGATCACAAAGCCAGAAAGTGACAGGAATTTGAACCCAAGAAATCTTGACACTGGCGCCTGCCTTTTTTATAACCAGGCTCTACTGTCTCCTTGAGGTAACCAAGATGGTCTATTGGTTAAATACCATTTTACTGTGAGGACTATATAGAGTCTCTAGTACCTTGTAAGATTTCAACAAATTTAGTGACTGTTTTCTTATTTGGATGTAGAGGTGAAAAGCTCCAGAAGGAGAATTTAATAGAAGAAAGGACTCATTAATGGTTACCAGGCAAATAACCTTTGCAGTCCTGTTACATTTTCAAACATCACGCACCTGATACTGGTCCCCGGGAGTGGTGGAGAGGCTCCTCCCCTGCTGTCTTCACATTACTATCCTCATTTATCCATGCCAAAAGAAGAAGATTTTACCAGCCTAACTGTCCACCTCGCCTGTGCTTCGGGCAAATTGAAAATAACCCTTTTAGGAATAAATCAGGGATCTCAGTTTTAAAAGGACTAAAAAATAAGCAGTAAGTGTTCAACAAACTAGATGTTAGAGACAAAAGTCTGTGTGCTTTTGTTAGGAAGGAGGTGGATGTCAGAAGCATTTGTGGCTTAAGTTGTTTCTCTAAATAATGTAGATGGACTTCTATGGTTTTTTGTTTTTGTTTTTAATCTTTGTGTACAGCTAGATTGCTGCAGTTCTCAAACTGAACCCAAAAGGATTACTCCATCTGATGGAGATACCAGCCCTCCTGATTACATTTTGCTTTGTTTTTTTGGATGGTAAACTGCTGTCTAACTCCTTTTGTTGCTTCACTGTGAGAATAATCACAAGGAAACCTGCTGATGCTGACGTATAGTTTTCAGAATTATTCACGAGTGGGTTAGGATGTTTATTCCAGATTTTTCCAATGGATACTAGTAGGGGAGGAAATGCATGTTCAAAGAAGTTTTTAAAATGCTGGATTAAAAGGGCAAAACGGTTTTCTTCAGGATTCTCAGAGCTGTTGTGGTAACAGGGTTATCAATCTACAAAAGGGCAATTGAGCACGTGGTATCTCCCAAACTTAACTTGAAAACCAAATGTTCTGGGACCAGTATTTCTTAGAAGTACACTGTTGCTAGATGCAGTTGAGTTGGTGCGACTCAGGACTGCAGGAGGAAACACTGCCCAGTGCTGCACCATCCTTACAATTGTTCTGTTTGAACCCTTGCTGCAGCCCTGTGTCAGTCCAGTAGTGGGTGAGAATACTGGTAATACATTCTGACTGCACAGCCTAGCTGTGCCTTTACCCACAGTGGTATTGAACAAGGAAAGCATGTCATTTCTCTGTATCTCAGTCTCCTTGTCTGCAAAATTGGGAGAATACTATCTACTTCATAGGATTCTGAGGATTAAGTGAGTCTATGTGCCTATCTACTCACTTAGAATATTGTCAGCGTATTCCTAAGTGTGATATATATTAGAGGTTGTCAGGAGTCCTAGTGACAGTAATGACAAGACTGGTAGTTTGATCCCAACCAGCAGCTCCAAGAGAGAAATGTCCCAGCTGTCTCTCAATAAAGATTATTGTTGTGTGCTGTCGAGTCAGTTCCGACTCATAGCAACTCTGTATAGGATTTCCTTACACAAGCAGAAAACCTCGTCTTTCAGGGAGCTGCTGGTGGATTTGAATAGCTGACCTTGCAGCCCAATGTCACCATCCTAGGAAACCGTAGAACACCAGGGCAGTTACACTCTTTCCTAGACCATAGAAGAATTGATGCTTTTGAGGTATGGTGTTGGAGAAGAATATTGTAAGTGTCATGGGCTGCCAAAAGAACCAATAGGTCCGTTTTGGAAGAAGTGCAGCCAGAGTGCTCTTTAGAGGCCGAGATGGCCAGACTTCGTCTCTCATACTTCAGACATATTGTCAGGAGGGACCAGTCGCTGGAAAAGGATATCATGTTTGGTAAGGTGGAGGGTCACAGAACAAGAGGAAGATCCCCAATGAGATGGATTGGCCAAGTGGCAGCATCGATGGACTCAAGCGTGGCAACAGTAGTGAGGTTGGCCCAGGATTGGGCAGTGTTTC